TTGTAACAAACAGCTTTGCCATTTTTGTATGTGTTCCCTTTTCTTGGGGGGGGGGTATTCAAACGTTTAGATTTTCCAGCCTTGAAGGATGCAGCAATATTTCTGGAGAATTACTGCCTGTGTTGCAAAATAGTAAAAGTGAGCATTTGTTTTGAATCTATTCTGAAAGTGGTTGCCACAAAGTTTCCATCTGTACAAAAAAAAAAAAAAAAAAAAAAAAAAGACATGTAAGTAGGTTAGTAGATTTTTTTTTAGATAAATACATATTAAAATCTATCTATAATAATATATTTGTATGTAATAAATAAATTTTACTAATATAAGTCATCATTCTTTTACTTCTGCAAAATTGGCCAAACTCTACTATGGTGGTTGTGTTAATACATAAGTCGCAGATAACAAAAAATTCTTTGAAAGATCACTTAGACATATTAATGGAAGTAAAATCATATTTAAGAATGGAAATGGTATAAATTTTGATTGCATATATGCTGAATACTTAAATTTTAAATAGAAAAGATTTAATATATATTTATATAAATGAACCATTTATTAATTTTTTGAGAAATGTGAATTATTACTGTTAGAGTTGAGTAGTATTTTAGTAAATAATTTCATGCTTACATTATATAATGTATTAATTTTATAATAAATAGGTTTAAATATATATGTTTTTGAAAGTAATGACTATTATTAAAGTATACTTAATTTAAATATGAAATTAAAAGTAAAAAATAGAAGCTTCACAAACAATTCATGGATGGCAGCTATTGAAAGCTACTAGAAATTACATTCAAAGCTACTATTAATAAAACCTAATATGGAACAGGATAACAGAATGCACCTATGTCAGGACCACCGTAATCATATCCAGAACAAAGCTTTTCTCATAAGTGAATTGGTGATGTCATGAACATAAATCTAAAAGGCCATCTTTATTGCTATATGAACAGTTTCCAAAAATAGAAATTGCTGAGTCAAAGACAGTGTCTCATTCTGAATTCCAACATTGTTACAAAGAGCAGGAGCTGCATCTCTGACAATTCCTTCTGTCCCCAAGGAAATTACTTGGATGGCAACATGGATTTCTCTCTTTCAAACTCATTTTTCAATCAACAGCTCATTATTATTATTATTATTTTTTTTCTGCTCTTTCAGGAGAAGATATCAGCAAATAGCTGCTATTGCATATGGCGGCTTGATTTATATTTAACTTCCTTTTCTGTTATTCAGCTTAAGTCATGCATGTATAAAATACAAACCTTAGTTTCCCCTGTTACCTAAGTTTTATTTTATATATATATTTTTTAATAATATATTTATATAATATATATTTTATTTTAATAATGTACATTTTATGTAATATATTTAAGTTATAAATATTTAAAATTTTTGTTTTCACATAATTTATATTTCTTTTTTCTTTTTCAGCTGCAGCTATGTCGAGACTGGGGGCTAAGACCTATAGCCGGAAGCCTGAATGCAGGACAAGTGTTCAGTTTGATCATTTGTTGTCAGAAAAAGGAAATAAGCCATCCACAGCAAAGGTTTCCGTTGCTGGAATTCACAGATGGGGAATGACATCTTTTACTTCTATTCGAAAGGCTCGCATTAATGGGCAGAAAGAGGTTAATGAAAGTCTTGAACCAGTGAAACGGATTAAAATTGATCCCAAACCTACAATTTCTTGTAGAGAAGATCCTTTTAGTTTTGAAACTGATATTGAAATTCCCGCTTCTAAGGTTTTACATTCCTCCAGTTCTGTGCATTGCAGTAGTACAGATGCAGAAATAAAGCCGGTGCCACCAAAACCTAATAAATTTTTTAAAAGTGGAAGTTCACGGCTTCTTTCAACAGCGTCAAACTCTCCAAAGAACAGTGATTTTGATGCTCTGAGACTGTCAACTCCTTCACATTTTAATGCAATGAAGGGCAATAAAGATTCTCATGAAATTTTTTTAAATATGCATGCAAACTTTAAAAATGAGTCGTCCCATTCTTCTGAAGAACAGCATTCAGTTTTTCTGACTAATACTTCTCCTAATATTGTGGATTTACGATATTGTACAACTTCACCAAATGCATGTGCTTCCAGTATGTATTCTAACAAACCTAGTGTGCATTATATCAGTCCATTTATCCAGCCGATAGTGTCAGCTGATGCTTCATCACGGGCATTTGATGCTCTGAGAACTTTGGACCTTTCTAATAAACCATCTAACATTCATGTGGTCCACCAGTTAGATTCGTACAAGCCAACAGATTATGTTATGAAAAAAGAAAATATTCTCAGCATTGCTCAGACAGAAACCTCGTTGACAGGCAATGACAGAATGAACATGAATCACAATCAAGTTATTTCCCATCCTTCAGAGAAAAATTTGATTTCAGTAGAAGAGCATCTTAATCTGACTGATCAATGCCTATTCAGTGACTCTCAAAAAGAACTGGCTCTTTCAAATATTGTGAATACACAGATATCCAGTGAATGTGATCCAAAACCACAAAGTGATTTAGAATCTGTCTCTCAGTCTCAATCCAACTCTGCTACTTTTTCTCAAGAAAGTAATATTGTATCTTCACAGTCTTCTGGAAAATGTGAAGATTCCAGTGCTGCTGGTAAACAGCAGTCACGTCCCAAAAAGATATTCAGTTCTTCTCTGAAGGTAAATGCTGTTTATTTATTGGATGTATTTATATGGACAGTTTTTATTTTCAATTAAGCTATTAACTTTTCCTTCTTTATAACATTTGATTCATTCTTTTTATATAGTTCAAAGCTGTGTATAATCATCGACATTGGCATTCAAGCAAGAAAGAAACTAAAGTAAGATATTTTTATTTATATTTGAATTTAGAAGTAATTGTCCTTACAGAAAGGAGGGAAAAAATTAATGTGCTCTAAATTTTACACTGTACACAAGAGTTTCACAATGTTTACAAAAAAGCATAGATATGAATTTTAAGAATTTTGAGAGAATTGAGAAATTGCTGAGAATTTAGTCTCTCAGATATTTGGAAAGAATTCAGGGAACTTGGCCGTAAAGTGAAGTATATACATGATGGTGCACAAAATATCATACCATTTATCTAGTTTATTGTACATTTATTTATCATCTGAATATTGCAGAATGAATTCACAATGAAGTGCCTGCTCATAAAAAGTGAGTTTAATACAAAATGTGTTAATTGTGTTCACAGGTTTGTTTCGCAACTTCTTCGAAGCAGACCTTTGCATTTGTGCCAGTCCTTCAGCACAACTATACAGTAACAGCCTTATTACATGTGTATAAAACATTCATACAGAAAATCAAGGACAGTGGCAGTTTGTGGGTTAGCGTCATTTTGCATGAAGCACTGAATTTGTAAAGAGAGACCTGTTGCTGTTTTCAAGTGCATGGATATTTGATATGTGCCATTGATTCTTATCCAACACAGAGCTTGTGGTTTCCGACTGCTGGCACTATCTGTGAATGGTCTGTTTGCAAGGAGCCCATCTTATACTAAAGTGTGTATGAAGGTGATTTTGTGTCACCGTCAAACTCATTCCCCCCCAAAAAGTGCCACTTTCTTTTTTCAATGCTTAACTGGCTGTTATACACATTTTTAATATTCAGTATATAATAAAAATTGTAAGAGATAATTGAATGGTATTATATTTCACGTGTCACTCTGTAACTTATTCTTTTTGAAGAATATTTATAGATAAGAATTTCTTATTATCTGAATGGTTCCTAAAATGCAGATCCTAAAACTATTTTAGGTGTGTCAGAAAAAGTTTTGAAGATTTTTTTGGTCACATACTCATTAAAAATAATCAATTATTTTTTAGTAAATATAAATGTCTAATATTAACCCATTGTTACATTGTTTTCTTTTAGATTTCTTCCGTTTTGCTTAAAACCAATTATATGCATAGAGTTGCTATAAATCACAATTGCACACGCATGGGTTGTGATGCTGTAGTTGTCTGGAGAAATTAAATCACAGCAAACATTAATTATGTGGGTCATTTCTGAAATTCAGTCAGAAACGTTAGGTCAATACTGTTCCCCCCTCCCTCACACACACAGGTAAGCTTAGGGTATAGTAACCTTCTAAAGCAATTACAGCACTGCTGGTTATTTTGACTTTTCTAAGAAAATAAAAAGTTTATTTGCAGTTTTGTGTAGATGTTAATTTTAAGCAAGAATAAGCCTTAAAAATAAAAATTATGTCCTCTGTGTTTAAGCTCTTCAATTTCATTTCAAAATTTCAGTGAACTGAAGAGTTCTACTTGAACTTAAAAAAGTTTTACTCAGGCAGTTATCTATATATATGTATGTGAATAAAATATATATATGTATGTATAGTCGTGTGTGCTTTTATGTTCGAAATTTTTATCTGGGGTACAATTTTTTGGCCTTTTTCAGGGTTCTGAAACACCAAGTATTTCTTTAGCTGATGAATTTGAAGAAGAAACAACTAAGGAAAACTTCAATGATGCTTTAGTAGAAGAAATTGCTAACACCTCCTATGGAGAGAGCAGGTCTTTCAAATGTCCAAAGGAGTCTAAACAGGTATGTATGTGATAAACGAACTTTAGTTTTTATTGCTTAAAAACAATATATTTCTTTTCAAGCTGTAGTAGGATTTCAAGACCTTCTAATATATACTTATTCAAAGTTTCATGGCAAAATTTATGCTGATTTTTATTACACTAAATAATTTGTCTAACTCATTTCATACATATGGATGCACACATAGAAGAGGAAGTAATTCTGTATAAATTCAAGTAATGAATAAAAAATAAGATGTTTAGCCATTAATGTACAACACTTATAATCACAAAATATAAATAGTCTTTTAACACTTTCCAAGCTGACAAAAGTTTCACATTTAACCTGTTGTGTCTTATTAAATGACGATTTCCATTAAAAATTAAATGATGAAATAAGAAAATGCCCAATATTCCCTCTGCATTAAGACCAAATCAGGTACTTTATATGAGAAAGGATTGATGAAATTTGAGTTTCACATTCTGTTTAAAGACTTGTGAATTATTAATTTTATTAACTTAAAACTGCTCTTAACATTCCATTTTTAGGAATATAAAAAGGGTTTTTAAAATTATTTTTTAAGCATCTGTGTGAAGTTGTTCTTTTAATTCTATTATAGTCAAGTTAAAGTAAATTAAATTTTTATTACTAGGAAGCTGGTTACAAGAACACATTTTAAATTGCTATAGAGCTAACTGAGAAATTATTCTGATTTCCTATGACAATGATAAAAAATAGTTCTTTTATGATGTTATGTATGTTAATACATTATCTAAATAAATATTAAATTGTATAAACAACTTTGTTGTTTGCATTTGTAAAAAGGGCTTCTTTAAAGCAGAGTACTTTACTCGAACTATTATTTATGACAACTGTTGGTACAAATTCTAACAGATATCTTGTTATTATATTTGGAAATTTTCTTATCTTAAAACTCAAAGGCAATGATTTAATATGCACCTAATTATTGTGCACGAGAAGCCATTGTGGCTTTATGTCCTGGATTACATACTTCTGTTTATGCACATTGTCATGAGATTTCTTATTAGTAGTCTGTGCACATTTTTGCATATCTGCTAACAAAAATGTTATTTTGGCTGGGGAAAAAATGCTTCTGCTTGTCAGAGATCTGTTAGAGCCTTGATTTTTACCCTGCCTCCCTTTTAATGCTCAATAACAGATAGTATTTGTTATTAAATTAAGGAATAATTTTAAGGCATTTGTCTTAGGACAAGATTTGGTCAAGGTCAAGCATAGTATAATTGGCAAACTTCTATGAGTATTAATGCATGTAAGAAAGGCCGCTGTTGCATACTTTGGATATTTTGCTCGGCACAATTGTTTACATGTACATCTTGTATACATATACGTAGCGTATTCGGAAACTAAGTATCGTTTCTAGCGCCGTTGCAGCGCTGTGGTAGGCGTCCCGTGCATGTTGCACAGTCTTATTGTTCACTGACTTTCAATTGTCGTATTTTGGTTGCTCTATGGTGTTTTCGTTTGCTGGCACATTCAAAATGTTTAAGACAATTAGTTTCCCGCTGACTGAGATTCGTGCGTGATTAAATTTGAACGCGAGGAATGTTAAACCGGCCGAAATTTATCGTCAGTGACAGAAGTTTACGGTGAATACGCGATAAGTGATGGAAGGGTGAGAAATTAATGCAGGTCGAACAAGTCCACGCAGAGGCTCGGAGTGGTCGTCCTTTCTTGTCACCGATGATTTGGTAAGGAAGTGATGAAGCAATTCATGAAACAGACGCTTCACAATGAAACTCTTTAGAGGCATTCACAAATTTCACGTACGTTTTGTTCGAAATTGTGTCTGACCGCTTGAAATTATCGCAAATGTGTTCCCGATGGGTTCCAAAAATGTTCACTGATGTTCACAACAAAGCGAATTGGTAGTGCCCTGAATTTCTCACGCGTACAGTATGAGGGAGAAAACTTTTTAAACCAAATTGGGACAGGTGATGAAACTTGGGTGTGTCATTTCACACCAATCGAACAACAATTGATGGAGTGGACACACTCATTCTCCGAAAACAAAATTCAAAGTGACAATGTCACAAAAAATCATGTGCACTGTCTCTGGGATAGGAAGCATTTTGCTTACTGAATTTCTTCCCAGAAGTGAAACCAGTAATGGGCACGATATTGTGAGACTTAACAAAACTAAGGCGTTCATTCAAAAACAAACGAAGAGGATGCTCAGTAAAGGAATTGTGTTGCTCCATGACAATGCTCGGCCCCTACTGCTGGTGTCTCTCAATCATTAATTCGACAGTTCATTGGGGCGTTCGATACCTGCCGTACACCCGGACTGGCGCCGTCGACTATCACTTGTACTGCATATCAGCGCGAGCTTGGGGCAAGCGCTTTGGATCTGACAGACATGAAAATGCTTGGAGTCGGTTATCAAAACTGCGGGAAGTTCTTTGACTATGGTAACAACGTCACCCCTATAACAAGTTTTATCATTGCGGACTATTTGAAAATAGTTTAAGACATGTATGTTCATGTAAAAATAAAATTGATTCGAAAAATTGTTTTACTATTTTTTTTTTCCAAAACGGTACTTAATTTCCGAATACTCCTTTTAGTAATTATGCCGTCCCTATTTTAGGCTTTAAATACTGATCAAATAATTTTTTTCATCTTGGAAAACATCAGTTTCTTTTATTGTTTAGGGTATCTTTTTTTAGGATTTTTTTTTTATGCTCTATGCATGCACATTTGATTTTTCCTCCCGTAAGAAACCATGTAGAGAATCCCAATTCTTAATTTCACTTTGGCACTAAATAAAAAATACCTTGTTATTGAAGAAAAATTCATTTTAGCGTAAATTTGAGTGATCAATAATTTGTCTCTATAATTGCATATCTGTTTGGCATACATCTCAAACCAAAACTTTCTACATGGTTGATTTTTACTACTGCAGTCAAATACCAAAAATCCGCCAACTCCTGAGATCCACATTGCCTCTCAGAACATAAACATTCAGTTTACAGGTTCCAGAAACCACAACATTTAGTACGAAATGTTGAAGAAAAAAATACTTACCTAATAAATGATGTCATAATTACCGAATAATAATGAGTCAAAATGGAAATACCAAATATTGATATAAAAAAGTTTAAAAATAGATAACAAATAAGATAAGTTTTTTCCCCTCTAATCTGCATCGAGGTACAAAAGCAATATCCTCAACTCTTGTTCAAATTCACGGTCACGTTGTTGTATTTCTGAGCTTGTTTTTAATTTCACGACATTGTTAGTCCGCCTTTTTTTTATCCAGTATTTTGTGAATAGTTAGAATATTTAATTTCAGTCTTTTTAACAGGTGACTAAAGAATGTACTGTGATTTACTGCTTGCAAGTGACAACTTAACACATGCATGAGGTAACGCAAAAGTGCAAATTCTGAAAAGGAACAGGTGCTACTCCTCGATTATACAGATGGTATGGAATTGCAACACGATGGTGTAGGATTATGAAAATAAGAAAAGTGTTGAATTTACAGCAGCAGGAATTCTAACACGGAATCCGAAAACGGAATTTTTGGATGAGCGAAATGGCAACCACAATTCTGTGTACATATCTACATGATTAATATAATCAATTTATATATGAAGAGTATTTATGCATATTAAATTATTCCATCATCTATATCTAACTATATTAATGTATCTAATACCTTATTCATTTTGCACTTTTAGTCTGAATATTATGCTGTATCTTTTCTATCCTGAAATCCTAAAATCCGCTCAACCCCTGGTCCCAAGCTGTGCAGATTTCTGGAATTCTACTGTACTAATATTTTACATCTCTGATGCCAATCTGATGAATCATTATTTATTATATTTTGCTTCCATCACCGTATGTTTATCACTACATGACAACTTGAGTGATGACTCATGCAGTGATACCTGAACAATTTTTTTATGTTAGTTATTGAATAAGATTATGGAAACCTTTTATGTGGACATTATTCTTGGCGATGATTACAGATTTAAGTTAAATGCGCTAAATGTTGACGAGGACAAATTTAACAAAAATTTGTTTTCATATGCAAAATATAGCTTTTGTTAATGATACTCGTAGGCCAAAGATTACATTTAGTGCTATTTGAATTAAGAATAAGTGATTTTTTATTCATTAAAACCCAGAACCAGCACCAGAGCTCGCATGGCTGCGCAGTGTGCCAGAATTTACGGAAGACAAAATTTTTGGAATATAGAGAAGCACCAAATAACAAAATTAAGGAATGAATTTTTTTTTTTTTAGAATATAGGGAAAGCATTGAGACCCAAAATTAAGGGGCTACAAAATTTAGAACTTATGGAGGTGCTGGGTAGCAAGCAGAATTTAGGACCCGCAGAGACTGCACAGCAAAATATCTAGCTGCAGTCCTTAGTAAGCTTAAGTATATGTGGGATATGTGGGTTTATTATTCAGGATCCAAATAATGTGGGTTTATTTATTCAGGATCCACATATAAGTATATGTGGGTTTATTTATTCAGGACCCAAATAAGCCTTAAGCATGTGCAATAATTAGACGTAAGTATAATAAATAACTAAATAAAAAATACCTTGTAACATTCGTATTATTTTATCAGTTTTTGCTGTGTGATTTTATCAGAATTTTGTGTTTCATAACTTTATAATTTGAAACAACCCCCCCCGTAATTAAATGATTCCTGTACCAAGCCAGTTGCAATACTTTACTGTTTCTTAATTTTTCCCGCGAAACAGTCACTTGTTTTGTGTGGTCCCGCACATTTGAATCATCGAGGTTGTAATCTGCACATATCTGAACTGTGGTGGAAGTGTTGGCAGTTATGAAACTGCACAACACTACCACTCACTTTGTACTCCACAATTTCAATGTAAAAAAGCATGAAATAGTTCAGGTTGTATAATTTTTCTACTCCCGATGTATTTTCTAGTTGGAGTTGAAATAAGGGCATGTGACAACCGGCTTAAATGGTGGCATTTGGGTACTTTCAACTGGAA